CAGCCAACCCTACTTCACTGCGTCCAATGGATTTATGGACGCATACAGTTGAGGTAGCCAATTTTTAGGCCTGGACATTGACATTTTAATTAATTCTAATAACCACTTCTAACTCCATCTTATGGATTTTGATTAGTTATTATATACTTCTACATTTGTACCGAATTTTGAATAGAAAACGATATGTTTTTAGATATTTTATTAGGACCAATTGATTCATATACATATGTACATCTGTGTATTTGATTTTTTTATTAGAATTCTGTTTTTATGAAAAGTATTCCATTGAATTATTGGAAATTTCACCTTAGAAAGGGATTACATACATTATTGACCAGGATATTAAATTTTTTAAAATATCAATGACCTTTTTGTTGTATTATTATTATTTGGCTTTTAGATACATATGTATACCCAACACACAGTGAAAATGCAGCTTCATTGAAAAAGATGCTAATGTTTTGAACAATACTGTAATAAAAAAAAATATTTTGTATATTATAGGTATGTGGCATACTACTCATTGTTTTTGGATCACTAATGGTTTCCAATATTGGTAGTATATCGAATATACCACAAAGTATGGAAGCCAATAGTGTACCAATTGCTATCTTGGTCTTGGGATGTGTAATTTTCGTTATTGCATTTTTGGGTTGTTGTGGTGCCATAAGAGAAAATTCCTGCTGCACCATGACCGTAAGTATTGTAGTTTTTTTTTTCGTTAATTAGAATGAGATTTTAATTTTGTATTAATTTTTTTTAGTATTCAGTCATAATGTTGATTTTGTTCATGTGTCAATTGGCATTAGTTATTTTTGTTTGGGTGCAACGTGAACAATTCTTAAAATCGATGGACAATGTAGTGACTACGATATGGAATCAACGTAAGGTCGACCAAAAAGTCTTAGACACTTTGCAATTAACCGTGAGTATTTTTTATTAGTTTAATAAAACAAACTTGCATATTATTTGCATTTCTTTTTTTAATCTTGAAATTTTCTAAATTTTATTTTTTCAGTTTAATTGCTGCGGTAAAAATTCTTTCACCGACTACTCTTTAGCTGGTGATGATATTCCACTATCTTGCTGTGGAATTGATGCCACAAGTTGCAATGTTGTTAATGCCATGACCCGCCCCGGCTGTTCTCGTACTTTTGCCAAATTCTGGGAAAAGAATATCGATATTATCCGCTATGCTGGTTTAGGTGTTGCTGGTGTTGAGGTAAGTTGTTTCTAATATTGATTTAATTAAAATCTAGAATTAATTTTTCATATTTTTATTATATTTCCTGCAGTTGATCGCATTTATATTCGGTTGCTGCCTGGCCAATCAAGTACGTAACAGTCGTCGCAGAGCCAATTATTAATAATAATTAATAGTTTTTCATTTAAGTAATTTTAAATTGGTTTTAACACTTTGAAACGAATTGTAAATCGAGTGTATACTTTTCGAACAATTATGTTTGTATTTTAATATAAAAATCGAAATAATAAAATCATTATTTATGTAAAAGAAACGAAATATTTCGCCACTTTTTAAATCCTTTGAATTTTCGAAGCAAACCAAATAATCGATTATAGCGTCAAAATCAAATCGAGGTAAATTCCTGGATTTTTTTTTTTAAATTTGGCAGTGGTAATATCTAAAACGAACATCTAACTTGAAGATACAAATAAATTTAAGGTAGTAATAGTTCCAAATGAAAGTCATTATGATGAAGCTAGGGAAACGAATGTGCAAGAAAGTTCTGAACAATTTTAAAGCCTCCATAATACTGGATGATGAAATCTATACTTTTGGGGAAGACGTGTATCGCAATTTATAAAATGAATTATAGTCCAATGTTTAGAAGCTCAGTTTCTTGGTATTCAAACTGCATTGAATTTTCAAATTATAATATCTGGAATATCCCAAGATATTTAGATTTAATTTTAAAGAAATCCTGAAGCCTAAGTAGGCTTCACGTCCGATTATCCTATAGGATTTTAGAGATCCTTCCCTACCGTTCTATTATTCCAAGTGGCCATATGGAATTTTCATACCCCTGTTTTTATAACAAGAAAATTCACTCTTTCATTGCTGCTTATCTCCGAGTGGCTTGGTATTCATAAAAATGGAATCCCATTTGGAGCTTACGGTTCTCCTACGGTTCTATCTTCAAAAAAGCTTTGTTTTATGATGATTCCCGTTCATGAGCTGGACCGATTTCAAAAAAATATATATTTTTAGTTATTTTTTAAAAAAAATGAATCGAATCGAAATTTTCTCCTTTTGGAAACTTTGGTATTCAGTATTTCGATTGGAAGCTCCGTCATTAAAATAATCGCCCCTATTCTGCAATTCAATTCGCATCGAAATTTTCTCCGTTTGACAACTTTGGTATTCTGCATTTCGATTAGACACTCCGCCACATAAACAACAACTTACAAAAACGTACGTACGATCGTAACGCAGAATACACGATTCCGTTTTCTGTTGAAGTATCATTTTCGATCGTAGCGTAACTGATTGCGGAAACGTAATCGAAATGGTATTCTGCATTTCGATTGGAATCTCCGTCACTAAAATAACAACTTTCAAAAACGTAGTTACGATCGTAATGCAGAATACATACAATCGTAAAGCATTGAAATAAAATGGAATTGCCTCTTCTTTTTTTCTTACGATTCCGTTTTTTGTTGAAATACCAATTTTCGATCGTAGCGTAGCTGAATACGGAAACATAATCGAAATGCAGAATATGGGTGCATTTAACGGTTAACACGTTTACAAAATGAGTTACATCGCAAACAACTAGATTGTACAACATAATACTTCGATCCTTTGTATTTACCTAAATCAGTTTTTCCATGTAATCCCATAAATTAAAATGAGGACTCATTCATCTATAATGCCAAAACTTCTTTGGCTTGTAGGCTTATCCCATATAAAGCTGTAGCATTAAGTATCAAAGTGTTGTTTTATTTCGAAGATTAAGAGCTTAAGAGAAAAATAGAGCGTTTTGAAATCGGTTCAGCTAACAAACGGCCACTGCTAGACTTGAAATATTTTGAGATTCATTATCATAGTAAAGCAATTTTTGAGTGGGGTAACAAATACACTATTTAGCTTTCCCCACAGAGTGAGTCGGCCAAAAGTACATATAAACAAACATATATATTCTATAAGTACAATATATTTTAAGTGAACAATTGATATGAAATTATTTAATACAAATAAATACAATATATGAATATATGGAAAAGTTACACATTAGTGCAGTTGATAATAGTGAGATGAAAAGCTTCTATAAAGCTCTCAACAAAAATCGTATAAAAATAAATCTTATTTATACTATTAGTTGGTTTAACACCAGAGTGCAGTTCAAACGTATCCCGACGGACAACGGCAGTGTAAAAGCAAAATGACTAAAATAACTTTGTACGGTTTAGATGCAAGTCCACCAGTTCGTGCTTGCTTACTGACCTTGAAAGCGTTGAATTTACCTTTTGAATACAAACGCGTGAATTTATTGGAAGGGGAACACTTAAGCCAGGAATACTTGAAGAAGAATCCTCAACACACTGTACCCACTTTAGAAGACGATGGACATTTCCTTTGGGATTCACACGCCATCATTGCCTACTTGGTAAGCAAATATGGCAAAAATGATTCACTATATCCCAAAGATCTTTTGAAACGCGCACAAGTTGATCAACGTTTGCATTTCGAGAGTGGTGTAATGTTCCAAGGTGGTTTGCGCAACATTACGGCTCCATTGTTCTTTAGAAATGAGACAAAAGTACCTCAACATAAAATTGATGCAATTATTGAAATTTACGACTTCTTGGAGGTTTTCCTCAAAAATAGTCCATACATGGCTGGTGATCATTTGACAATTGCCGACTTAAGCATTGTGACTTCAGTGACTTCGTTGGTGGCTTTTGTTGACATCGATAGTTCAAAGTATCCAAAATTGACTGCCTGGATTAAACGTTTAGAAAGTCTACCCTATTATCATGAAGCTAACGGTGTCGGTGCTAAGATGTTGGTAGAAATGATTAAATCGAAGAATATCACCATTGTAGCTTAATTAAACTTTGATGGTTGGAATTAAATGTTGTAAATTACTCTTGATTACCGTTTTCAAGTGAAATAAAATATTTTTGAAAATGTAGAACTAAAAAGTGTTTAAATTTAATCTTTGTATATTAAAGAAGAGATATGTAAGAATACATAAATACATATTAGATTGTGTCGCATCCGAAGTGTTCAAAGAACTGAATAACAAACTTATAACTACTCTGCTTACAAAGGTGAAAGGTATAAAAATAGGCCCATCGGTCCATCCATTCATTTAAAGCTTGTAATCAAACTAAATGACTTGTAAACATAAAACCCTCCAATGAATTTGGTCACACCTATTTTTAACCCTTCCGAATTTGATATAAATATGTAATTTTTAACCAAATATAAACATTAGGCTTATAGTTTTCAAACCGATTTACCGAAAAACCGGTTATTAATACTTCTTTCGATGAAATTAATGAAATATAATCAGCAGTACTGCAGGAGATCAAAAGGAATTTTGATGTTTTTGATGTAGATTAATAATACGAACGATATACAGTCAGCAATACTACACGAAATCAAGGAGAATAGGGAGTTCTTGAATTCGACTAATTACAAAATCCAAATCATCTATAGATTGTGATTGAGATACCCTATAGGGTATCTCAATCACTGCAGTTACATCTACAAGTTCAGACAGTTGTGTGGCCAAATTGATTAGATCAGTTAGTTACATTTCCGACAACCTCGATATCGAAAAAGTCTTTGGAAAGTTTATGCTTTTGTGGAGAGGGGCAGTTACACAGATTTGCAAATAGAAAAAAAAATTACTTATTAAATAAATAAATTTAATTAACACAACAAAAGTTAAAATAATCTACAGTTGTAAGTTACATACATACATATATACATATATATTTAACAAAATATATATTTTGTACTTTATTTGCTAAATAAACACAAAATAATACAATTACATAAAAAGCTTATTCTATAGCATACAAAGTATCTATTGTACAAAAAAGCTCTTTATCAAGTGTAGCTATTTTTTTAAGAGCTATTAGTTTCAGTACACACGATATTGGAAATCAACGTTTTGTTTTCAGAAGCAAGCAGGTTGTCTAACAATATGGGTAAAATAATTTTGTATGGTTCTGACCCCAGTCCCCCGGTACGTGCCTGTATTTTAGCATTAAAAGCTCTACATTTGCCATTTGAATTAAAGGCCATAGATTTCAATGCTAAAGAACACTTATCAGAAGAATATTTAAAAAAGAATCCGCAGCACACTGTTCCCACTTTAGAGGATGATGGTAATTTTATTTGGGATTCACATGCCATCATTGCCTACTTGGTGACCAAATATGGCAAAGATGATTCACTCTATCCCAAAGATTTTCTAAAACGTGCTATTGTTAACCAGCGTTTATTCTTCGAGAGCGGTGTCATGTTTCAAGGTGGACTACGCAATATTACAAGTCCCTTGTGGTACAAAAATGAGACAAAGATTCCTCGGGAAAAAATTGATGCTCTTCATGAAATCTACGACTTTTTAGAAGTTTTTCTTAAGGATAATCTATACATGGCCGGTGATGAATTGACAATAGCTGACTTTAGCATTGTAGCTACAGTAACGTCTTTGGAAGCTTTTGTTGATATTGACAGTTTGAAGTATCCCAAGTTGAGTGCCTGGATAAAACGCATGAAATCTCTGCCCTATTATGAGGAAGCCAATGGTGCTGGAGTGAAGAAATTTATTAAAATTTTTAAATCGTTTAATATTACAATTGTATCCTAAGTGATTTTTTAAATTATTATATTGGATAAGCTTTCACAAAAATTTTTAAAAATAACAGTTGCAGCTTTTGTAAATTGTAATAAAATATATGTACATATATTCATGAATAAAACAAATATCAGAAAATATATATTCACCAAAAATTTTTGATTTAAATTTTTGTCCTCCACGATTCCGTTAATACTCGTAGCAAAATTTGGCCCATAGTGAGGTCTAACTGAAACTAATCGACGTTATTAAACATCAATATAAAACAAATAGAGGGATTCAAAGTTTTTCATTCGATAATATCGCTAACGGGCTAAAAATGCCCGAATTCAAAGGGACATTCCAAAATTTTTCGAACACGTTTCGTACCTTAGAGTACTAATACAATATTGAGGCTGCGGAGACGGTTACTTTTTATATTGAGTTTTGACAACATAAATCGTAGAAAAAATCCGCACCACATTAAAATTTATTTTAATTTGTTCGCGAATTTTCCTCTTTTAGAGTTATCATGCCATTCATACATTCTATGAATAAAAATCTTATGTTTAATATTTTTCTGTGAATGCTAAGGAAGATGAAGGCAAAATGAACCATAAAATACAAAAACAAATAATAATAAAATGGCTACAAATCCGCAACCGCAGAAACCAGAAAACGCATCCGCCTCCGCAAGTTTGTAATTCTACTCTTACCCTCTCCAATTTTAATGAAACTCGGTAAACAAATTCTTTGTATAAATACGAAGTTTAAAGTTCTCTAAAAGTTTCAAATTTATTATGGTTTATATTTTTTTGAGGTTCAAAGTTCATATTATATAAGATTTTTCAGCAAGCATTAAATTTGATATCATATGTTTTCTAAGCTATTTATCCGATTTTGATTAAAATTAACGCCAATGTATTGCAGTTTAACAACATTTTATTTAACATATTATAAGTTTATTATAAGGATAATGATATCAAAAAAAGTCCTTTAGTCAAGGATATCTCAGAAAAGAAGAAAACATATGTACTTGCATATGCTGGTTTACCTGATGACCCAATAAGTATTATTAATATTTATGTAAATTGCTATTTAATTTCCTAAAATTAAGAAATATTCTTTAATATAATATTTTATAATAATAATCCCTTATTATATATGCTCAGCATGCAATTTCAATTTTAAAATCCAGTTTTTATGTGATTGTGACAAATAGATTCTTAACAACGGAATTTTTTCACAAACAAATCTTTGATAATAATTATATTGATGTATGTATGTTTATCAAGTAGTTATTAGCATTATCAAGAGTAGCATTTAATTATTTTTGTTTTAATAAAATGAAACTAAAAATTATTTGATTTATATAAAAAAAATAATAATAATAAGGTTTGTTTACAAATATGTTTATTCTAATCTATATCTTCTTCTTCTATCTATCTATATATATGTATATAAAAATGAATGTGTGTTTGTTTATATGTTTGTATGTTTGAACGTTATAGACTACTAAACGGCTGAACCGATTTTATTAAAATTTTCACAGCGTATTCCTGTATGTCTGAAATAGATAATAGGCTAACTTTTATTCCGAAATTCCAAGTGGGCGAGGAGCCACACCCATATTAAGAAAATATTAAATCCGTATATTTGAGATCATATAACAGTTAGAGTCCTCAAATTTTGTTGGAGCAACTTTAGTGTCAATATGATTATTTAGGACAAAAAGTAGGCGGAATAGCATTAGAGGGCGTGGCACCTCCCATATAAATTAAATACAAAAATTCGTTTATCTTGGAAACTATTACAGTTAGAATCTTCAAATTTTGCACGAATAACTTTAACATCCATTTAAACATTTTGGGTAATAAATTGGCGGACTACCCATGAGGAGAGCAGCACCTCTCATATTAATTAAATACAAAAATACGTTTATCTGGGAAACTAATGAAACTAAATTCTTAAAATTTTGCACGAAGAACTTAAATATTCATCTGAACATTTTGGAGGAAAAAAACGGACTTTCATCTGGGGGGGCTTAAAGCCCCCATATGAATTAAATAGAAAAATTCGTATATCAGAGAAATTATTAGAACTAGAATCTTTAACTTTTACTTGAAGAATCTTAACATTCATCTGAACATTTAGAGTATAACGGGTGGACTTTCAATGGGGAACTTGGCACCTCCCATATGAATTAAATATAAAATTTCGTTTATCTGGGAAACTAATAGAACTTGATTCTTAAAATTTTGCACAAATTACTTTAATATTCATCTGAACATTTTGAAGGAAAAAGTGCGGACTTTCATCTGGGGAGCTTGAAGCCCCCACATGAATCAAATAGAAAAATTCTTATATCGTATATCTTCAAATTTTACATGAAGAACTTTGACATTCATGTGAACATTTAGAGCTAACGGGCGGACTTTCAATGGGTAGCTTGGCACAACATACATATATGAGTTAAATACAAAATTTCGTTTATCTTGGAAACTCTTATAATATTAAAATTTTTCATAGATATATAGAAATTGGTGATAGATAGAAACTGGCGAACTTGCAATAATTTGTTTGACATCTCTCATATGTAACATATTATAAATCTGGAAAACTATTTTAGTTAGAATCTTCAAAATCAAGTGGGTTTTTAATTTATACATATTGCTTTTAGGGTAGCAAAGCACACTGGGTATAGCTAGTAAAGTATAAATATATTATTTGTACAGGTTGCTGCTAGATACTCTAATTATTTCTATATTTAAATGATTTTATTTACAATTAAGATTATTTTATACACATCGCAAATATTAATTAAAAAGGGAAACCGTTATTTCAGCAAAAAAAAATTATTAGTCTTTTACTTAAGCAGATGTTTTGTAGTAAAAAGGGTCATTAGAGGAATTAAAACAAATACAATATGTCTATAACTTTCATACATATAATTCGATTTAATATAAACATTTAAATAATTTAAGTTTTTACTAAGGTTATAACTTTTATTAATTTTTAAAAATTTCAAATCGGCGCTATATGGTGTAAAAAAGTATATCAAGTTTCCTCGGCAAATGCTTTAAAGTTTTCGTCATTTACTCTAAACAAAATTTTAAATTTTTTAATACAAAATCTTAAATTTTTGATATAAACAAATGTAACTGTTTGATTTTTTGATCCATTAAGGTGGAAGTACATAACACGCGTCGAGTCGGCAACGCGTTTTACGCTTTTCATACTTTTCGCGCTTTACAATCTTCAAGTTACGCACCACGCGTCATTTTGATATTTTCTTTAATGCTTTTTAAGACTATTCAAGAGTTTAAGTTTTTGTTTATTTTTTAATATTTTTCTTTCAATGTTGGTGAAATTTATTTCATTTTAGTTTATACTTATTCTACACAAAACGAAATATAACCCTGTTCATCTGCCTACGCGTCAAAAGTTAAAAGTTGCTGAAGTTTTCGCGGCAAACGCATTACAAACTACAGTGTGTAACTTGTTAAATGAGAATACACTATTTCAGCTTTTTTTGACTGAGGCCTATTACGCGTTGCCGCGTACAACGCGTGTTGTGTGCTTCCACCTTTACATTTACTCAGAGAAAAAGCAAAGATATGGGCTGCGGTTTATCCCTTATCCAAATTTAGTACCTAAACATAAAGATTATGCTATTAAAAAGAAATCAGTTTTGCCGCGGAAGGTTTTTGTACCAAAATAACCCGAGAAAAAGGGTTTCGTTATTAGAACACTACAGGCTACCACATAGTAATAGGGCGTAATTTTGGTATAACCGTAATGTACATTCATATGTATATATGTATGTCAATTAAATCTTAACCAGAAACATACGTATGTATGTTGGCATGAATAATAATTGTTTTTCCAAATTATTGCAAAAACTATTTGTTTAACAATGTTATGAAATAAAAAACAATTTTTCTAAAAAAGTTTATGTCTTCAACTTGTAGTGGAAGGGGGTGCGTAATCGTGATTAAGCAATTTTTAAAGCTATTTTTAAAGTTACAGTAAGTTCCAATATATTATTTCAATAGATGATTATTAATTGTATAAAAATCTCGGTTCAAATGTGATCAACATTTTGTTTCTATGTTCACTGCTGGTACTTACTCCTTAAAAGTACAGGGTTTCTCAAAAAGTAAAAAAGTAAAGCTTAAACTTTCTTTTCGAACTCAGTGTACAAATTTAATTAATAAAATTGCTGGTCATCATCTGGAAGATAGTGTCTCTAAATACTAAATTATTCGATATGTACATACATATGTATACATACATACTCATTTTAAAATCTATGCGAGCACACATGTATTTATAAATAAATATTAATTATTTGAAAACAAAACAAACGAATACACACTCGTATATTTAATTATTTAATCGTATGTTTGAGATACAAAAAGTATAGTTTGATTAGTTAAGAATCGGAAAGCTTATAATAAATACATACATACATATGTTGTTGTCTGTCTGTTCTTATCGAGCGTGTGTCTGCTTGGTAGTAGGTAAAACAAAAACTCATCGCAAAGCTCACAAACAAACTTAAATAAACAATTTCAGAACGGAAAGATTAGTTTCTTGAGATCCGGCAACAGACACAGTCGTTAGATTCGTAACATTAAAATAAAATGCCTAAATTAACTTTGTATGGTTTGGATCTTAGTCCACCTTTCCGTGCCTGTGTTTTAACTTTGAAGGCATTGGATTTACCTTACGAATACAAATTCATTAATTTGTTGGAAAAGGAACACTTGACTGAAGATTACCTAAAGAAGAATCCCCAACACACAGTTCCTCTTTTGGAAGATGACGGTCATTTCATTTGGGATTCTCATGCCATCATCACCTACTTGGTGAGCAAATACGGCAAAGATGATTCTCTCTACCCCAAGGATTTGCTTAAGCGTGCCCTCGTCGATCAACGTTTGCACTTCGAAAGTGGTGTAGTATTCCAAGGCAGTTTGCGTAACATTACAACTCCTTTGATCATGAAGAATGTGACTAGAATTCCAAAAGAAAAAATTGATGCCATTGTTGAAACCTACGGATTTCTGGAAGTTTTCCTCAAGGATTCACCATATTTGGCTGGTGATCATGTAACTGTGGCCGATTTCAGTAACATCTCGACAGTTAGTTCGTTGGTGGCCTTTGTTGAAATCGACAGTGTTAAATATCCAAAATTGACTGCTTGGATTAAGCGTTTGGAAGCTCTTCCTTATTATCATGAAGCCAATGCTGTTGGTGCCAAAATATTGATTGATATTATTAAATCTAAGAACTTCACAATTGTAGAATAAGTCGGTAATAGTTAAATGTTAATTTGTTAATAAACTTAAATATAATTATATTTTAAAGTAATTAATATTTTTAATTTGTTTAATTACTTAAACTGTCTATAGCTTTAGTTTTCACAAATGTTTATTGCACCACAAAAGTTATCTGTATGTATGTAGATATTCACTTTTTTAAGGACTTTATTACACGTTTTCAGCTATAATACCGACAATGGATTTGAAACAAAAATGGTTACATTTTGTACTCTTAGGATAAAAAGATGTAAAAAAATGTCTTTCAAAATTTTTTTGAAAAAATAATATTGAAAACTTAAATACATATTAAAGGATAACAATTTCAAAACACATTTTTGATACCTTTTTATCCTGACGGTATAAAACAAAAATAATACAAAATATTTCCCAACTCTTCTTGTTCGCTTGACATCAAATTTGACATTGTTTAATATTTTTTCGAAAAATGTACTTTATAAAACTTTGAAGTCCATTAAAAAGGACATAGGATCACAAAATGAAAAACTAAAAACGCAGTTTTTCTCCATTAAATATATAGTTTCAGACGTATATATATCATCCGGTTCAGTAACAAAAGTAGTTTTAATTTTATTTAGTTTTTTGTCTCTTCTGTAAAATTTTCTATTTGATTTTTGGAAGTGGACATTATATGAAAGCTATGACTAGTTTATTGCCGATCAGGGATATGTACAAAAACATATTCCTGTTATATTTTGAACCGATATGATTATTTTTTTACGAATTATGTTTGTTTAATTGATTTTACGAAGTGGACCTTATATGGAAACTATGGTCATACCAACACAGCTTTCAGTTTAGGCTAGGTTGATAGGAGAATGTATACTAAAATTGAGGAAATACACCTAGGCCACTATCGGGACTGTTGTGCGCTCCTTTTCGTGGAAAATGTTGGTAAAAAACAAAAACCTTATATGGTATGGTATTCATTATATATTATCGTCCGATGTTCAGGAACGTAATTTCTAAAAATGTTCCAATCAGCGTTCGTGAAGGATGTTATATCCCGGATATTATCACATCCAAGATATTTGGATCTAACTTCGACGAAAACCTGACTTTTGAAAGAAAGTGCTCCATAGTTTCACTCTCCTCTCTACATGCTCTATCCGCATGTAAAATTTGGCATAGCTGTGCCCGTAATCCTGTTTGTCCACTCAGAATACATACCATCATACTAACCTCCGATTCGCCCATTTTGAGGAGGCTGCTTGTACTGCTCTCTTAAGGGTCATCCTATGGGGCAGTACAGGATGAAAACTTACCTCTGGAGTATTCGGTGAAAGATTTATTTATAATCAAATACGGTCTTAGATTTAACTTTATCAACTGATATCTCACTAATGGTCTACTTGCTGTCGGTAAATTTATGTTGGCGCCATATTTATTTTAAACCAATTTTCGTTATTGCTGAGACTTCTGCCTGGAAGCTAGTGTTGTTTCTTGGTCTTTAATACAGTGTCCAATATACTTAGACATTTTTGTATTTTTTGTGAAAAGGCAGATTTTCGTCTTCGTCGGGTTAACATTGAGCTCAAGGCCGCATTCAGGGCCTCTTCAGCCTCTTCAGCCCTTCTACACAAGCAATTTAGTTCCATTCCCCTTAGGGACCAAATATCACCTTGTGGAGTACTGCGAAATACCCTTTAAAGGTTAGTTATATCCATCTTTTTCTTAGCATGTAACTAGTTGATCAATTTACCCGCTCAACCTTAAACTTGTCTAAGGATTGGAGAACAATATCAGTGTGCATGTTATTGAAGGCACCTTCGATATCAATATATACCGTCATTGTATACAGTTTGCGATCGAAGGATTCACCTATATAGTGGAACACCTCACTCAATGGGGTTTTTAACAAACGTCCATTTACATAAACTGCTTATATTTGAAGTTTTTGTTTGATATACTGCGTTTAACCACGCTCTCGGCCATATATTTAAAGGTTTTAAGTATGAAGGACGCGAGGCAAATCGCTCGATTAGACTTTGGTGAATATTGGTAACTTTTTACTTTTATTTCATGCCTATGGTTCTCCTATATAGCACCCAGCACCGATGAGTCTTTTTAATCCAATCCACAAGCAATTTGGGTCCTTCCCCCTTAGAAGCATTACAATATCGTCTGCATATCACACAGGTCTAAGTCCTTTCTCGGTTAGGGTCCTTAAGAGGGTTTTAATCGAAGTTACCCAGAGTAAAGGGACCAAATGTTACCTTGTGGAGTATTGCGAAATACCCTTTAACGGTTAGTTATATCCATCTGCTTCTTAGCATGTAGTTAATCATGTTACCCGGTCAGCCTTAAACGGGTCTAAGGATTGGAGAAGAATATCAGTGTGCACGTTAATGAAGGCGCCTTCGATGTCATTGCATACCGTCATTGTATACAGTTTGCGATCGAAGGACTCACATATATAGTGGAAAACCTCATTCAATGGGGTTTTCAACAATCATCCATTTACATAAGCATGCTGCTTATATTTGAAGTTTTTGTCTGATATACTGCAATTAACCACGCTATCGGCTATATATTTAAAGGTTTTAAGTAGGAAGGACGCGAGGCTAATCGGTCGATTAGACTTTGGTGTCGCATAGCAAGGTTTTCCTGGTTTGGGTATAAATAAAGCATGCAGTGAAAATGTTTGACAGATAAACTGAAACAGCTTCCCTTCACTTAATATCCTTCTCATGAAGGTGAAGGGTATTATTATCAAAATATTCATAGTATTAATATACCGTAGCGTGTCTAGCGATCTAACATTATATTTTTCAAAAACACAGTAAAAGCTTTCGATATTAAATTCTCAACAAACTTATACTAGTCTTTCTCATACAAATTTCATTTTTTAAACGTTTTACAAAAACAGGCATTCGTTATTATTACGTTTTCTTAATTTACACTTGCATGAGATTTTTTTCAAAAATATGCATGTCATCATTAATGAGATAAAGAGAAATAGTAAACAACTCTCAAAATTACTTATATACATATTTTACAATAAGTTCAATTAATAATAAACAATATAAAAAGCTAAAAATTCTATATTTTATTCAGTTACACTAGACGCTCTCTCAGCAATCAACGTTTCGTCAGTGAAAATAAAAAAATGACTAAATTAACATTGTACGGCTTTGAACCAAGTCCTCCAGTACGTGCGTGTCTTTTAACATTAAAAGCTCTACAATTGCCATTTAAATATGTTCATATTAATTTAATGTCCGGTGACCATATGGCTTCGGATTATCTCCAAAAGAATCCCCAACACACTGTGCCCACACTAGAGGATGATGGTAATTTTATCAGTGATTCCCATGCCATCATCGCCTACTTGGTTAGCAAATATGCTAAAGATGATTCTCTTTACCCCAAGGATTTACTCAAGCGTGCCTTGGTCGATCAGCGTTTACACTTTGAGGGTGGTGTTGCCTACTATGCATTACGCAACATTTCTATGCCACTGTGGCTAAGAAATGATAATCAAGTGCCCCAAGAGAAAATTGATGCAATTGTGGAAACCTATAATTTCTTGGAAGTTTTTCTCAAAGATTTACCATTTATTGCTGGCAATCATTTAACAATCGCTGATTATAGTATTGTATCGATAGTGACTTCCTTGCAGCCCGTATTGGACATCGATACATCAAAATATCCAAAATTAACAGCATGGCTAAAGCGAATGGAAACTTTACCCTATTATCAAGAAGCAAATGGAAATGGTGCTCAGCAGTACAGTGAAATGATAAAATCAAAAAATATTACAATTGTATGAGTGTTAGTTATTTGTAAATATAGTTACCATAATATTCTATATATAAAATTCTAACGTTACTGACTGACTGACTGACTGACTGACTGATTCATCATCGCACAGCCTAAACGGTTGATGCTAAAGAGCTGAAATTTGGACAGGAGGTTGGTCTCCCGCCAAATAGATCCACTAAGACTGGATTTTTGGAAATTCGAATGTTTAGGGGGTAAAAAAGGGTAAAAACGGGTAAATTCGGTATCCTTATATCTCCTAAACTAGAAAAGATACAAAAACAGTTTAAAGCTTATCGCCGTTCATTTAAAAAATAAACGGACAGGTGTCTGGTACTTTTTTAAAATTCGGCCCCTATAGGGAATAAACGGGTAAAAACTGTATTTTGGTACTTTTTTCGCACCCCATGTATCTTTTAAACCAGTGCACATTCAAAAAATATTTTTGACTCCTTCATAACTTAACGAAAAAATAAAAATATGAATTTAGTAGTTTTTGGATATTCGGACGTTTAAGGGGTTAAAATTGTACCTATTTTTGGTACTTTTTTCATAAAACATTGTTTTTGGTTTATTAACTTATACATATGAATACATAATAACGGGCTCCCACTACGATGTTGCAACTTTTTGGAATAGAATTTTTATTTCGTTAATGGGGAGGAAAAAAGTACCAAAAGGGGTAAAAACGGGAAATTTGATTTTATTCAACCACAATGATCCAATTTAGATAAAATTTTTAAATTTAGAAACACTAAATATCATAATGGGGTGTTATTTGGAACCCCGGTATCAAGTGATATTTTTTGGTACTTTTCATTCTCCAACTGGTCCTTTTTGAGTTTTCTATGATATTGAAATAGAAACATGAAATTAATAATAAAGGGACTTTTCGCTACTTTTTCGTTCTACACAAGTACTTTTTTGAGTTTTCTTTAAAATTAAACCTAGAAACATGAAATTAAGCATGTAGAGCTCGGAGTAAATGAGAATCTATAAAATGGGACTTTTTGGTACTTTTTCGTTCTTCAAAAGGTACTTTTTGAATTTTCTATAATATTGAACCTAGAAACATGAAATTAAACATGTAGAGACCGGAGTAAATGAGAATCTATAAAAGGGGACTTTTTGGTACTTTTTCGTCCTTCGACTGGTACTTTTTGAGTTTTCTATAAAATTTAACCTAGAAACATGAAATTAAGCATGTAGAGCCCGGAGTAAATGAGAATCTATAAAAGGGGACTTTTTGGTACTTTTTCGTCTTTCGACTGATACTTTTTGAGTTTTCTATAAAATTTAACCTAGAAACATGAAATTAAGCATGTAGAGCCCGGAGTAAATGAGAATCTATAAAAGGGGACTATTTGGTACTTTTTCGTCTTTCGACTGGTACTTTTTGAGTTTTCTATAAAATTTAACCTAGAAACATGAAATTAAGCATGTAGAGCCCTTAGTAAATGAGAATCTATAAAAGGGGACTTTTTGGTACTTTTTCGTCTTTCGACTGATACTTTTTGAGTTTTCTATAAAATTTAACCTAGAAACATGAAATTAAGCATGCGGAGGCCTTAGTTAATGAGAATCTATAAAAGGGGACTTTTTGGTACTTTTTCGTCCTTCGACTGGTACTTTTTGAGTTTTCTATAAAATTTAACCTAGAAACATAAAATTAAGCATGTAGAGCCCTTATTAAATGAGAATCTATAAAAGGGGACTATTTGGTACTTTGTCGTCTTTCGACTGGTACTTTTTGAGTTTTCTATAAAATTTAACCTAGAAACATGAAATTAAGCATGTAGAGCCCTTAGTAAATGAGAATCTATAAAAGGGGACTTTTTGGTACTTTTTTGTCTTTCGACTGGTACTTTTTGAATTTTCTATAATATTGATCCTAGAAGCATGAAATTAAGCATGTAGAGCCTGGAGTAAATGAGAATCTATAAAAGGGGACTTTTTGGTACTTTTTCGTTCTTCAAAAGGTACTTTTTGAATTTTCTATAATATTGATCCTAGAAGCATGAAATTAAGCATATAGAGCCTGGAGTAAATGAGAATCTATAAGAGGGGACTTTTTGGTACTTTTTCGTTCTTCAAAAGGTACTTTTTGAATTTTCTATAATTTTGAACCTAGAAACATGAAATTAAGCAAGTACAGCCAAGATTAAGTGATAACCTACAAAAGGGGACTTTTCGGCACTTTTTCGTCCTTCGACTGGTACTTTTTGAATTTTCTGTAATATTGAACCTAGAAACATGAAATTAAGTACGTAGAGCCCGGAGTAAGTGAGAACATATAAAAGAGGACTTTTTGGTAATTTTTCGTTCTTCAAAAGGTACTTTTTGTGTTTTTTATAACATGAAATTAACCATGTGGAGCCCGGAGTTAATGAGAATCTATAAAAGGGGACCCTTTGGTAATTTTTCGTTCTTCAACTGGTACTTTTTTAATTTTCTATAATATTGAACTTAGGAACATGAAATTAAATAAAAGAAGTGTTTTGTTACTTTTTCGTACTTCATTGGTACTTTTTGAGTTTTCTAAAATATTGAATATATAAACATAAATTTAAATAGGGGACTTTTTGATATTGCAGATATATATACATTTACAATAATATTTATTTTATTCCATTACGATGAGGGTAGCGAAGCACACTGGGTATAGCTAGTATTCTATATTTTTATTAATTTATATAGTTCTAAAAATAGGGAACTACTATAATGTTTTATATTTTTTAAGGCCATAAATTTAATTGATATTGAAATTCAAAATTGTGCAATTGAAGGGCTTATTGCAGTAACTCGATAAGCCACCAACCATCACAATTGGATTTTATGTGCTTTTTGAAACTTAATATGTCAAATTTCGCTATACTCGTATTTTTAAGACAGTAATTAGCGTTAAAGTTATTTTCTGAAGGGGATCTTATATGGGGAGTAGGTCAATTATTGACCGATCCACATAAAATTTGGTAGAGAGATTTTGACTGATATATATTCGTGTATATATTGTATATATATATATATATATATATACATATATATATATATATATATATATATATATATATATATATATATATATATATATATATATATATATATATATATATATATATATATATATATATATATATATATATATATATATATATATATATATATATATATATATATATATATATATATATATTCGTATTTTTAAGACAGTAATGAGCGTTAAAGTCATTTTTTGAAGGAGACCTTCTCATGGGGGTACGGTCAATTATGGACCGATCCAAATAAAATTTGGTAGAAATGTTTTGGCTCACCAGGGACTTACTTATGTCAAATTTCATTGCCATACTCGTATTTTTAAGCCAGTAACGAGCGTTAAAGTCATTTTCTGAAGGGGACCCTATATGGGGGGTAGGGTCAATTATTGACCGATCCATATAAAATTTTGTAGAGAGATTTTCACTCGCAAGAAACTTATGTGTCATTTTTTGGCTCGCATGTTAGTTATGCGTGTCGAATTTCATCGCTATACTCGTATTTTTAAGCCAGTAATGAGCGTTAAAGTAATTTTTTGAAGAGGGCCTTATATGGGGGTAAGGGGCAATTATAGACCGATCCATATAAAATTTGGTAGAAAGGTGTTGGCTCATCAGGGACTTACTTATGTCAAATTACATTGCCATACTCGTATTTTTAAGCCAGTATTGAGCGTTATAGTGATTTGCTAAAGGGGACCTTATATGGGGGGTAGGGTCAATTATGGACCAATCCTCATAAAATTTGGCAAGGAGACTTTTGCTCATATGAAACTTATTTACGTCGAATTTCATCGCTATACTCGTACTTTTAAAACAGATATGCCCGTTAAAGCTGTTTTTCGGGGGTCCACTTGTATGGGGGCTGTCCGAAAACGTAGACCGATATTGGCCATTTTCAATACCAACCAAACCTTATCTATATAGAATATTTGTGGAAAATTTCAACCCTCTAGCTCATTCCGTTCGGACTCTATCGTGCTTTCAACAGACAGACAGACGGACGGACATGGCTAGATCGTCTTAGAATTTAATAAGGACCCAGAATATATATACTTTGGTGGGTCTATGACCAATATTTCAATGTGTTACAAACGGAATGACAAAAGCAATATACCACCCATCTTTTTTGATGGTGGGTACAATTATATTTTAAACTTCATAAATTTCATATTGAAAAGAACATAATAAGCCACTTTTAAAATGTACTAGAACTTGTTTTTTGAAAATAAAAAATTTTCAATTATTGTTAGGCAATAACTTGATAAGCCACAATTTTTTGCTAAAATAGTGGTTTCCACTTTATTTATGATATCCATCTATTGGCATAAGATAATTAATTATCGACCTTATATGATTATTTAGTGTGTTTAAAGTGCAAATTTAAATAAACCATTTTTTTGAGAATTTTTTTAAACTTTAATGTCGATTTACTCAAAATTTTATTTATTTTTTATTTTTGTGGCATATCGAGTTACTGCAATAAGCCCTTCAATTATTTACATATTAAATCATTTTCGGAATTAAAAACAACAGGAAACTTACATACATTGGTTTAATTGAACTCAATGTCCGGTTTTCGCTCGACTTTTAAAATCAATACCGATAATGATTGTATTTATTGACAGCCACGTTTGTTTTAAACCCTATTTTTTTCAATTTTTATATTTGCAATTTTTCCCATATGTCGTCTCTTGAAAAAATAAAAACTCAGGTCGTCTTAAAGTTAGTAATGAAAATTTATTTCCACTAACATTATAAAGGTTGAAAAGATAAGCAGAAGGAGAAGGAGAATTTATTCTCTATAAAATAACAAATTGATACAGATTAATAATATAAATCAAAGTATTGTAATAAAATAATTACTTGTTGTTGGACGACTACACTTGTTGACGACAAAACTATAATGGCTCCTTTTTATTTTAATTGAACATGGCGAACGTTACTTTTTGACAGATAATTTAATAGTGTTGGTAAATACGGCAAAAATCAAAGAAGGGATTTATTATGGACAAAATGAAATTCACTGGGGGACCGTTTTATCTGCATCATCAACATCCCCGCCCCCGTGAATGGACCCCATAATGTCCAATTCACCAACATTCTCCACATCTAATACGGCCAGTTTTGAAACGGGACGACGCAACAGGCCGTTGCCAGTATTTACTTCGGCAAGTCTTGCTACTCCGTCTTTACCGACAAATAATTTGTGAATACGTCCTCTTCTCCATTTTGACCTAGCTTGATCGGTTTCACAAATAAGGACTAAAGATCCAGTCGCCAAGGGCTTTGTAGGTCGACACCACTTTGTTCTACGTGTTAATTCGGGGAGATACTCCAACACCCAACGTTTCCACAAACAATTTTTTAAATTTTGCAAAATTCTCCACTGTTTCCTTAAGGTGCAACATTTTGAATTAAAGGGTCCCGGAGTCTGCGTTGAATTGGAACATCCCAATAAAAAGTGATTCGGAGTCAACGGTTCTGGTTCATCTGGTGTGACTGGCAAATGAGTGAGTGGTCTGGAGTTCAATATGTTTTCACATTCAACTAATAGGCTGTATAACGTTTCTGGACGTACTGTTTGTTCTTTTAAAGTGGCATATAGGGCCTTTTTTACAGACTGCACAAGTCTTTCCCAACAACCACCAGCACTAGGGTCAGAGGGGGTGTTGAACTTCCATTTAATGCCAAGGGGTTTTAAATCAGCATCTATTTTTTCAGGATCGATGAAATTTTCTTCAAAACCTAGCTCCTTCGTGATACCCACGAAATTAGTGCCATTGTCACTTCTAATTAAAACTGGTACTCCCCGTCGATTTATAAAATTCCTGATACAAAGTAGGCACGAATCACTCGACAGGTTCATTGCCAACTCTAAGTGGATGGCACGGGTTGTTAAACACGTGAATAACGCAACCCACCGCTTTTCTTGACTACGGCGGACAGCAACTAACACTGGACCAAAGTAATCCAATCCCGTGTAAGAAAATGGACGAACAAAGGCACTTAAACGATCTTTAGGGAGGGGACCCATAATTGGTTGGTACGGTTTGCATTTACGTATTTTACAGGCACAGCAAGCAGACTTCACTTTATTTAAAATAACACGTATAGACGGTATCCAATATTTTAACCGTATTTCACATATCACTATAGAATCGTTGATGTGTTTCTGACGTTCGTGATACCACTGGACTAAAAGGTATGTTACTCGATTGTCTTTTGGAAGAATATACGGCCTTTTCGTAATATATGATATAAATGGAGCGTTGTCTATTCTTCCACCACATCGAAGAATGTCAAATTCGTCGATATAAGGATTGAGCGTTATTATAGAGCTTCTTGGAGATATAGGTTCATTTCTTGATAGAGAAGAATACTCGTTGGCAAATTCTGTCTTTTGTATTGACCGAATTATATAACGTTCAGCTTGCTCTTGTTCCTCGACTGTTAAGTCACCCCTCATTAGAGTTTGTTTTTTATATTTTAACTTTAAATTGTTTACATAACGAAAAATCCATCCAATGTGTCTTACGAACTTTTGGTATTGTGAGAAACGTTTCACATCGAATATAATATTTATGACACGTGTGGAAAATACATAATGGCCGCTACGAAGTTCTTCCTCATCATTAGTAGCATCTAACGGCTTACAATTGGACGGCCACAATTCAGATGGTCGGCATAAAAATTCAGGTCCATTTTTCCATCGGTTATTAGGGTCATACTGTAAACTCGGACGAGTGCCTTCATCAGCTGGATTCATCTCACCAGGCACCCAACGCCACTGCTTTTCTTCTGATGATTCCAAGATTTCGGCTACTCTATTAGCAACAAACTGTTTGTAGCGACGATGTTCAGACGTTAGCCATTTTATGACCGTACTTGAGTCTGTCCAAAAATAAAATTCGACAGGTTTAATATTATGGTGTTCTACGATGGCATTTTTTAACCTAATAGCCATTACAGCCGCTTGCAGCTCCAACCTCGGGATTGAAATAGACTTAGTTGGTGCACAGTTGGTTTTACCTGATACAAATGAAATTTTGGGTCCATCAGGAGTATAGTATCTCCAATACGCCACCGCAGCCATTGCTTTTTCACTTGCGTCACAAAATAAATGTAAAGTTATGTTTTGGTCACACAAATTATGAAAATAACATCTCGGAATACTAAAGTCCCTTACCTTTTTCAACCCTGTGGTCCAAGATTTCCAACGATCACGTAAAGCCTCTGGTATTTCCTCGTCCCATTCCAAACCACATCTCCATAGCGACTGCATGAATATTTTTCCCGTAATAGTAAAATTACTTAAAAATCCAAATGGATGGAAAACGGACATAATTAGTCGTAGAACTTCTCTTTTAGTAGGTGTGCGTTTATTTTCAATAATATCGGCTGAAACTCGTTTGAATTTAATATCAAAAACAAATTTGTCTTTAACAGCTGACCACTGCATTCCCAAAATATTTTCAATGTTACCAGATGTCATATTAATATTATCCATGGTATGGTTACCAAAGTACGAGTTTATTTCTTTTGAATTGGATATAATTTTATGCATTTCAAAACCTGCTGCGTTATGTATTTTTATAACGTCTTTAACCACTTTTAGAGCTTCATTAACTGAGGAAAAGCAATCTGCATAGTCGTCTACGTAGTGGCATTTAATTATGGCTTCTACGGCCCTAGGGTTGTAGTCTAAAAATTTTTCAGCATTTAAATTTTTCACATATTGTGCAATTGTTGGTGAACAACTCGCCCCAAAAATAGCTCTTGTCATGACGTACTGCCTAACAGGTTGGTTGGTGCTCTCTCTGTATAAAAAACGTTGGGATTCTTGATCTTCTTTTTTAATTGCCACCTGTAAGAACATTTCCTTTATGTCGCCACAAACTGCAATAGGGTGTTCACGAAATTTAAACAGAACACTAGTTAGCGGTTGGTTCAGGTCTGGTCCTGGTAGCAGAAAATCATTTAAAGAAACACCGTCCACCTTCGCCGCTGCATCAAAAACTAAACGTAGACTATCCTTAACGGGATTAAAAACTGCAAAGTGTGGTAAAAAGAACGTTTTGGGTAAAATTGTTTTTTCTTCTTCGGGACTAAGTCGTCGTGCATACCCTTTTTCTAAAAGATGCTTCATTTTTGCTCTATATTTAATTTCAAATTGTGGGTCTATACGAAATTTTTTCTCAATCATATAAAGTCGTCTTAAAGATTGAGCATAACTATCAGGCAGTGACTGAGTCTCATTTTTCCATAAAAGCCCACACTCATAACGGCCATCACAAAATTTGTGGTCGACTTCAAAATATCTAATGCTCTTATCTCACTTTCTGGCTTAACGGGTTTGACATCAAGTTTTACCATACACGATTCAACCTCAAAATATTGACGCATCATCTCCTTCATTTCTATATCTTGTCGTCTTGAATGAAATACACTTTTTAACACGCAATGCCTTTCCATGCCATTTGGACCGTAAACTACCCATCCAAGTCTTGTCTTCACCGCAATAGGTCCATTGTTATCAGGGCATATGGGTATGTTTACTGGTACCGTCAAAAATGCATGTGTCAAACTAATAATCATTTTTGGTTTAATTTTGCTATAGGAGGTGATTGGGAGGTCGTTTAGATGGCTTTGGTAATTAATGTCGTTTAAATTAAATGATTGTGTAGGCAACTCTAGATTTTTAACCAAATACACTTCCGAAATTTGGTACTTTATATTTTCTTCTGGTAGACCACTAATAGACAGATCTACAATTTCTGTTTGTTCACTACTGCAATGTCCATTTAACCATTGCAATTTTAATTTTTCCTGTTTACCATTTAAACCAATTTCTTTACCAATATCCCATTCTAGCATGGTGGCATCAGCGCCGTCGTCTATAAATGCGTAGATTGAGATACATCCTTTAGGTCCATATAAATTCACTGGTATTATCTGAAATAAGATTTCACTCTTTTGAGTACCTGCATGTAAATTGACAACTGTTCTGGGATTCTCATTTTCAACAACAGTGGCAACACCATTCGTTTGTTTATTGTTTTGATCACTAGTTGAATGTAATAGTGGATGGTGCTGTTTTTCACAATTGTTTGTACCACAACGCTGCTTTTTAAAACATTTATTTACCTGGTGTCTTCCTTTCAAACATGAGAAACACAAACGAAGTGCACGGGCTTTATTCCAACGTTCATCCACAGAAGCCTCCTTAAACAATTGGCAGTCCGTAAGGGGATGACAATCTCCAGAACAAATTGCACATTTTTGTACAATATTTGTAGTTAACGCAAATTTATTTTTAGGTAGCGGCTTTTTATTTCTAACTACGGATGACACTGATGGCAATGCATCGGAAACCATGTTGGCAATTTTCCTTGCTCCCTCGAGCCATTGACAGAAATCTACCAAATCAGCAGCCCTGTTAAGTTCAATACATTTTTCAGCCCATTGCATCTGTTTTGTTGGTGGCAGCTTCGAAACTAATTCGCTAAGCAAGGTTGGGTTACTGAGGTGATGTTTGCCATTGGCTGTTTGCAAAAAGCGCACCATATTACTGACTTTTGTAGAAAATTGTATTAATAAATCCAGTTTTCCTTCAGGAACATAATTGAGTGTGTTTACTTTGTCAATTTGGCTTCTTATTAATTGTTCGGGACGACCATATGTTTCACTTAATATATTTAATATAATGTTAACATTTTGTGAACTAGACAAGAGAGATTCTACAGTTTCCTTGACCGGACCATGTAAAGCTTCACGAATGCGGATTATGTTTTGTAGAGGGCTATATTCGAACTCGGTGGTTGTTTGATTAAAATCTTCAATGAATGTTGGCCATTCTTCTGGCAAACCGCTAAACGATGGGAGGGGATACAACTTTTTGGCTTTTACGGTCACGGAACCTTGGCTGTGGGAAGAAACATTAGTAAAGGACTCACCGTTATTTTCTGTGTGGACCACACCAGTTGGCCGTACTTCTCTGTCGACGTTTGCGGAAAATGTTTGACAATTGCTAGCTACTCGTTCTGATATCAGTTTAATTTCTTGTTGGAGTGAAGCTATACTGGCACTAGTTTGGTCTTTTTGTACGGTGATCAAATTATTTAAATTATTGTTTACCGAATTTATCTGTCTCATCATCTCTTTTTGCATGTCAGCTAGAACACGCAGCACGTCAGGCTGTGGGGTTCGTTGTTGAGATGATTTATTTCCAGTTGTAACAACAGGATTCGTTGGCTGTTGTTGACTGGATGTCGATGCAGACCCTGTAGATACATTTTGTCCTCCAGGAGGATCCATATCATAACGTTTTGGTGGCACGCCTTTATTAACCCTTTCGCTAGTTCTTGGAGAATTCTCCGCCATAAATTTGTATCACAGGCAACACAACAGAAGTTTGACACCAAATCAAACAATGACACAAACACTGAAGACTCCAAAATGGCGGCGACACGAGGTTAAAACATTAAACCACACAAACAAATACGCCAACAAAGAATAAAGATGTCGTCTCTTGAAAAAATAAAAACTCAGGTCGTCTTAAAGTTAGTAATGAAAATTTATTTCCACTAACATTATAAAGGTTGAAAAGATAAGCAGAAGGAGAAGGAGAATTTATTCTCTATAAAATAACAAATTGATACAGATTAATAATATAAATCAAAGTATTGTAATAAAATAATTACTTGTTGTTGGACGACTACACTTGTTGACGACAAAACTATAATGGCTCCTTTTTATTTTAATTGAACATGGCGAACGTTACTTTTTGACAGATAATTTAATAGTGTTGGTAAATACGGCAAAAATCAAAGAAGGGATTTATTATGGACAAAATGAAATTCACTGGGGGACCGTTTTATCTGCATCATCAACACCATATAAACTCGTTTTTAAACTTTGACGACGTTGCGCAGGCTCTTATCTTTAAATAATTTAATAAGTTTTTTATCTGACGTTAAAAATTACCAAGGGGGTGTGATGTATTTTGGGGGCTAGGTTCAAATAAAGCCCGATGTCCACCATTCTTTACTATATAATTTTTGAATCCAAAAAAAAAAAAAAAAATAACTTGGTCCAAATTTGATTACGATTACTAGCTACTAATCATAATTATTTCAATTTAATCTCTTTTCCGAGTAGCCACTTGTATGGGGACTATGAGAAATCGTGAAATCGTTCGAAAGACACAGCAAAACATTTGTGTCATTATATAAAATTATCTTCAAAATAGAACCTTTACGTAAGGAAAAAGTTATAAGACAATGTGCTAAGTCCAACAAACCTAAGTCCTACATAAACCGCCATGAGAACATGAAATAGTAAGTATTTTTTTAATTTTTAATAAACTAATTTATAATTTTAACAATTTTTACTTTTTAAAAAGACAGCTTTGATTACATTGTGATTGCAAAAATTATGAATCGTATGTAAAATAACAATTTTGACATACATTCGGAATTACATATGGATAAAAAAGTTACAGTACAAATGTAAAATACATGTCGTCTAATATCACCTTAAGCTAACGATAACACTTCGTGTGATAACACCTTAAACTCGTTAAATTGAGATGTTTTTCAACATGACAAATGTATGCGAAAACGAGTCGAATTTGAAGTGTTTTTCGAAAAAACATGATGCGTTTCAAAAAACACGAACGTAGTATTATACTAAGTTCATTATATATGCACTATAAAATGGGTGAAATATGCACTAAAAATGTAAAAATTATGCACCAAAAAATAGTTTCTAGTGAAATTTAAATAAAATTGCAGATGTTGTAAAATTTCATTTTAGAAATTGCTTTCGGTGCGGGAAATTTTTTAACCGAATTGACCTAAAAATTGCTTTTTTTTTTTATTATCAAAACAGTGTTGGAAATAAGGTAGTGCTGTGGTATTTTACCGCCCAAAAATAGTTATACTCTAATGTACATATTTATGTAGGTATGTATATCTAAACAACGAACATGTGCGAATAAAAATACATTACGAGTAAAGTTAATAAATGATTTAATTCCGTTATATTTAAACAATTTTTTGATGAAAAACTTATTTTCTGAAAGTGGGTTTATATGAGAGAGATGTCAAATTATCTGTTTATATGGACACACAGATGAACAGACTCAGAAAGTGATTCTGAGCCGATACTTTAAGATGGGTATAGCACCAATATTTTTGGATCACTAAGTAATATTTAGTTTCTTAGTTTCAGAGATGGAACCTAGTATTTTGTTAAGTATAATTTTTTTGATATTTAAAATTCTAAATAAAAAAATTAAATTAAATTATGTAACGCAAATTATTAAAAAAATTTAAAATATGCAATAAAAATGTTAGAAGTGTGAAAAATATTTGCAATTTAAAGCAAAATATGTATGTAAAACTAAATATGCAACAACAAATCGATGCGATGAAGTAAATTATATTGTCGTCCATATAATCGTTGGCGATATTGTCGCCTATATATTCGTTAACGACAAAGCTGAGGACACTGTCAACCATGTAATCGTTGACAATAAAGTGGTGGAATTAATCCACTATAATGCCGTCAGTGAATAAAAAGACGAAGTTTTCACTGTTACTGCGTGAACGAAAAACTAAGCGACACTGTCTCTCGTTAAGTAGTCTACGATTTTCACGTCTGTCCTACATTTGTCTTCCAGGACTTTATATTGTCGTGTACCATTCATTCAAATATGTATTTCCTTTCGGAAAAAAGCGGAAAAATGTCTTTTCATAAAACACAAAGTCGGAATTTCACAAATCGCAAAGTCGATTTTTTTCAACCATAGAAGACTAAAAATAACCAAATTTGGCTAAAGTGGCAACACTGTTCAACTGTTATTGATTGCTTGTCCGGCAACATGTAAATTATATTATTAAATTTATCAAAGACAACAACCGTGATTCACAATAATGTTGTAAATATTACAATCAGTGATGAAAGTGTAGCGATAAAAGTATAAATTAAATAGAACTTCATATGATCGACTTTTTGTCGAAAAAATAAAAACTTAAAAAATAAAAAAATGTTTTCAATTTTCTAATATCGACTTTTTTCCGACTTATTTTGATTTGTATATACAAAAACGATTGTGCGACTTATTTCTTACAACAAATAGCATGACCGATATATCAAAGATTAACATCCTAATGACATCTGTGTACCATGGTATAAATAGACAGTCTTACGGACGGGCATGGTTTAATCGACACCGAAAATGAGTAGATTTAAAGTAGGCTATAATAGCTCATTCAGACCGAGTCGAAATTAAGTTATGTATTTGGGCTCGAAAATATAAATGAAATATTACCTGTTCAGACCGGTGTTTTTGATACTATCAAGCAAAAAACATTCTTTTGCGAAAAATTTTAAAGTTTTAAATAATCACTTTTATTATTTTTTTAACAATTTCATTTAAACGGTATTGTTTTTGTATTATTTTTTGTTTTGTGCATAGTTGTATATATATGTACACTGGACAGGGACGTGATTTTAAGTTAATGTCAATGAAATTAAGAAAATGTAATGGAATTATTTCTATTAAATGTCTACTTCCTTGCTATTTTATTACAAAATTTCTTAATAACAAATAATTTGTATCTTTCCTTACCGAAATCTGATTTGAATGTTATAAAACCCGATATGATTATAAATAAACTAAGGATGATTGAGCCGTTCTAAAGTAACAAAAAGATGAATACTCTATTAAAAAGCGGGATTAAAATGCCGGTTGAAAGGACGTGTGGTCACATTATTAATAATATTTCATAAAACATGAAAATCATTTTTCAATATAATTTGACAATCAACAACGAAGCAATAAGGCAATGGAGCTCTGATCATATTACAATGTATTGTAGTGTAAATCCTCTTTATATACATATTTTTGAGTCTTTTACCTTAAGTTTGTATTAAATTCGAAATTTTACTCAGAATTAAAATTGTTACATACATATATGTATATTTTGTTAAGTATGTGAAAAATGTTGTTGTACGCTGTTATTAAATTTGCGCTTGCTATATTACATTATTCACAAAATATAATAACGGTATTCATAGCGTTATTTACAATACAAAATTTAACCGGCTAACATACGTGTTTAAGCCGCCGTTGAATTCTTTAATATCAGTTGCCGGCGTTGTTAGATTTAGTTGGCACAGGTCTCTGTTGCAGTAATTTTTTCAGAGGCAACAATTTTTTGCTGTGCGTTTTCAATTCAGTCACAAAGAAAACGGCAAAAGAAACGTACGCGTTAAATACCACAAAAAGAAAAGTTAAAGTTAAAATCGTTTGTAACGGTTTTATTATACTCGAGTGTTTTAAGGTAAAAATAAAGAAGTAATGAACAATAATTGAAAACCAAGTATTAATTGCGAATTTATCAATTGAAATACAAGTGAAGTATGAAGGACAAAAAAACAGTAAATAAAAGTACAGACAAAGAAATAAGTGTTTTCTTCATAAATACATACATACATCTCCCCGATGTGCAAAAACTACACAAGGTTTTCATGAGTTTGTGTTATGTATGTAGTGCGTCTTAAAGTTTTTACTTATTTGTTGTTGTTTTTATACGCAAAGGATGTGAAGCCAGCACAAAAGTTGAAAAAAGTTTCATGATTCTTCTTACTTAAATGTGAGAGAATCAATTTTCTTAGAAAAGAAGAAAAAAAAACGTACAACGAAAAATCTCTGAAATCATGTCAATGAACGCATGATTTCTTTTGCTTCCATTGTTTTATCTTTTTTGTTGTTTTTTTTTTTTTTTTTGCTTAAGGGGGGAAAATTACATGAACTTTTCTCATGAAAAAAAACAGTTGAACAAACTTACACTGAAGCATTTTTGTTGTTTTTACTGTTGATCTAAATACGAAAAAACAAGCAAAGTAATTAGATAAATTTATTTTTAATTAATTGCCCTCCTCAACTACTTAGATCACTAATGTATCTAAAATTATTTCGAATAAAAAACTGTAGTAAAAGAAAACAAAACACAACCACCACTCACCACTAGTTGAATACAAAAGCAAACAAAAGAAAAATGCCGCCATGTAAAGAACAATTAATGTTTGCTTTTTGTTGTAGTTGTGAGTGAATTTTCTTAGAAAAAAAACAACCACCATAATAATTTTTCATCTCGCTAACTCAAAGTTTAATTCATAAATGCGAATTAAAAAAAAATATAGGCATATTTATCTTGCAGAAGGCCACCATTCCAGGCATTTAAAAGAATACAAAGTATAGAGAATATAGTCGTTCGATTTAAGTAGGGAATAAATACCTATAAGGACTCTTTTACACACCTTGATAGCTAATGTCGCAAACAGTGCTCAATTAAGAAATTTGAAACTTTTAAGTCAATTTCATGCATAAGTTTAACGATCATTCATAGGCCGTAATACAAAATATTACACAACCTAAAATTCATTGAAGTTAAAATATTGGTTAAGATCTTAAATCTTAGTTTTAAATTTACTTCATTTAGGGCCAATCTTTAGGTGAAAGATTAGCGATTAAATTAAAATTAATCCTCGAAAGATGTTTTTGAGTACTCAATTAGTTAATTTTGTTTGCAAGTTCAAGAGTCCAATGGAGGTGGTTTAATCTTAAGCACGAAATGCAAAAATGTAAACAGCTGATGCAAAAAAATTAATAAAACTTTTATAAATATAAATATTAAAATGTTCTATTTATTGATTAGTATAAATTATGGACACTTCAAAATAGTTTTTTTTGTTTTTAATTTAAGTTTTCATTAATTTTCATATTAAATTTACAATTGTCTTCTTCTTTTTTATAAAATATGCATTGTTTTGATAACAAACAGTGACATTTTCTGTTGTTTTGTATGGCAACACTGCGAAGTTTAATCTTGTACTCAAAAACATCAAATGGTATTAACATTGGATTAAATTTATTTTTAGATTAACTAATCTAATTATTAATTGCCATTTGATTGTCAACTCAAAAACCCGGTCTTAGTTTTTAAACTAAGCTGTTATTCTTTAGCAGATCTGTTTCAGTCGTTTCAAATAAAAAACCGGATTATTGTTTGTAAAATCATACAGCTGCACTAAATGTAAACTATTGAAAGAGTAAAGAAATGAATGGAATGACATGATCATATACCATGACGAAACTAGTTTTATAATTAAATCAAATCGTTGGTATACGTATGTGTATAAACTTAAGTACATAGAGTTTTTTCAGTCTCATACAATAATTTACTTGATAATTCAACTTAATTGAACAACAAACAAATAAAAACACATTCAACAAAGCCAGACACACAGAGGTTCTAACATGAAAATCAAATGAAATAATTTCTAATAATCTTATTTACAAACAACAGATTCCAAAATAATTACGAACGTTTATTGTGTTAATAAAACCTAAAGTGTGTTCAAATGTAAAAGCCACGCATTTGTATCATAATTGAAGTGTAAATCATTTTTATTAAATGAAATCTATTCAAAATAGGTACCTACCTACAGTTTTTGAAAGGGCCTAGGCTGATTTATATGTATGTTGTTATTACTCAACTTAGACTTAACACATAAGTGCCACTTGTATCTTAAAAGATACTATTATAAAAACCGATTTTATTGTTTTAAAAGTTATGATAAATATGTAAAATACATATATTGGAAATTAATTAAATAATTTTATTATTTTTTTATGAGTAATGATAATTATACTTAAAAATTAAATTTTTTCTCAAAATTTCGTATTTCCTGGACATTAAAAGTTTAATTTACTTGTTATGTGATGCTAAAGATAAACCGCAATAGAAACTAATAAAACGACTTAAATAGTAGATGTGTATACAAAGATATTAGAATATTTTCTATATGAAATACATATTTTCATACATAATATTCATCATTTAAGTTAAACTGACAAACAAAACAATAACGAGATTGCACTCACTTTACAATTACATTCTCAAAAAATATGTGAGAATATTTTTAATAGAAATATTTAATAACGTACATATCGTTCAATTACTTAAACAATTTCATATTCTAAACTTAGTTTGAAGAAAAATGACTTTGAATGTTTTACGTCAACGGATTTGTTAAAAACCATACAGTACGGTATACTATTTTCACTTAGTAAAGCCAGATATTTTGTAGTATTTAGTTAACAAATTTGAGTTATGACAGTTTACAAGTAAATGAACGATATGTACTTGAAAAAATAAATTTCACATTGTTATTTGCACATTTACATAGTATGTATTTATTAGTAACTACAGCAATAATTTACTTGATGTGAAATCTAAAAAATCTCATTTTACTCTTGACTTTGTGTGCGATATAAAGATAAACAGATATTTATTGCCACAATAAAAAAACGACAAACTATTGAAAAATAATTTAGAATACAGATGTTAAAAAATTAAGTATAATAATTATCCAATTATTATAAAATATAACTTCCAACTACAAATTTACAAGTTCAATAGGGAAATACATAGAAAGGTCGATAATTTGAAACAAAAACTAATAAATAATTCGTTTCTTAAAAAAAGTAATGACACTGAACAAGATATGTACACAACTTTTGATGTATAGATTCTAATAAGAAAATAATTATAGTTTTTGGTTACAAACTAATTTTTTTAATATTATTTCTTCTTTTTTTTTCAGTTAAAAAACATTCATTAATATGGATTGTGGAACAACATTAGTGAAATACATTCTCTTCATTTTCAATACCTTGGTGTCGGTAAGTTTTAAAAGCTTTTGAAATATACATATATTAATAATTCGAAACTCATAAATTATTTATAAACTCTTAATATAACAAAAAGCTAAAATTTGTTACATCATTGTTTATTTTGTTTAAAAAAAAATAAACATAAAAACTGTTTAAAGCCGGTTAAAAATGTGGTGCTTTTTATAAAAAAATTATAAAATGTGTTATTTTTTTTTCTCATTTATGAATGCATTCATTCATTGTTCGAATGTGGAAGTCTGTAACTTGTTTATGACTAAAACTTACAAAAAAAAAAAAAAAAAAAAAACGTTATGAGAACCTTGTTTTTTATGTAAATTGAAGGTAATTAAAATGAGCTAAATGCGTTAAATGTTGTCGAAAGAAATTAAGCGATAGAATTTAATGTCTGAACTATACCCTCAAGAAAAAAATAGAATGAATGGAAACAAGTTATTTTAACTTTTTTGTCGACCTATTTCTTAAAATCATAACATATATGTAAAAACAATTTTTAAATACGATACAAATTTCAAAATGTTCGATAATTTGCAATAATCAACACTTCCATATGTCTGTGTCGGTGTGTATGTAGGTTTTGTTTCCCTCAAACACATAACATAAAAATAGATGATTTCAAAACAATTTTTTTCAACTTGTTTTTAACATTTGTTTAAACAAAAAACCGGGTTTTTTTGTATGATTGAGTAAACAACAGACTAATTTCGTTGTTACAATTTTGTTTTTAGTTTTAACTTTATTTTTTGTTCCCTTTTATTTAATATCCGAAAATAAAACATAAAAGGAAATTATAAAAAAAAAACTAAATTCGTGTTGTTAGCCATTATAAACTTTAAAACTCATTTGAGAATGCCGGGTTAAAACTCAGTTTCAATGTAGTTTTTTAAGGTGGGGTCATTATTTCAGTGTCAAGTTAACAATTTAATTGTAAAGGCTAAAATATCAGTTAATTCTTTATATCTTTGTCCATGGTGATGTTTCTTATCATATTTTTTTGACTTTTTTGAACTTAACTTCAAAAATTGAGAGAACAAACGAATTTTTGTATTAATAATTCACAATATTTTATTTGCAAATTTCAAGCCATATCAGATAAATCCATACAAAACTGAATATATAATTTAAAAACAATTTGAGAGATTCTTCGAATGAATAATAATCTCATTTAGTTATTTAGAAAGTTTTATATTTTCTAATGTTTGCTAAATCCTTATCATCCATTAGAGAAAGAAAGTTTCACGTACTAAATCATTTTTATTCAATCTGACTAGTGAGTAGACACTGTAATTATAAAATAAATATATATTTTTTAAAATTTCAAGTTCATATTCCTATAACGTATTAGTACATTACTTTACGAATTGTATGTATAAACATTATTATTTCCAACAGTGACCTGTACTTTTAAATTTAGTTTTTATTGTTAAGTTCTCACACTACTGTCAGCAATAAATAAAAAATCAAGTAAATAACTTTGAAGTTTTTTTTTCTAAATTTTATTTTTATTTAAAACGAGTTTTAAACTTGTTTATTATTTTATAAAGTAGAAAATGTTTAGAAGATTATATACAAAAATTGTTTTTGTTTAACCATTCTTTATCTACTTAAGCCTGCAAAGAAGTAATCGTCTTTGTATATAATCTAAACACAAAATATTTATTTGTGGTTTGGTTATATTTGTTTTTTTTTAACATTTTTATCTTTCTTTAATTTTTTTGTCCCTTTTTGCGCTATGCTTAACATTTTTGATGAAATCATCATTTAATAATTTAGCTTCTTTAGAAAATGTTTGTTGTGTAAACATTTTGAGAATATCTCGTTTGTAGAAATGAGTATTCGAGTAATTTCATTAATGTTTATTTTTTCAGTTTAACTTAGAATTTATACATATGCAACAAATCTGGTTTCATTTGAATTATCATTTGGGGATTTTAGTAATGACGAATACCTACGTAATAAGTATTGTCGAATATTTGATAAATATTTGAATTTAAAATTGTAATAATTTTTGCTTTATAACTGAGTTTTCTGGCGAAATTTTGTATGACTCAAGTTTGTATGCATTTTTTCACACAATTTTTTATTACTTTTTTAATCTATTAAACACAGAGAGAGAGATTATTCATCTTGAAATAAGAAAAGCGTTTATTGTTATGAGTTTAATCTTATTTAAACAAAAAAAATATTTACACAAAACTTGTTTTATTTTACTGTATTATATGTAAAGATTATGACGTAATTAAGAAGTTAAAGGCTTTTTTTTAGTGCAAACGTTATTTAATTTCCGGTTTTGTTTTTTTTTTGTTTCCTTTTAATTAGTGACTCGATCAAATATGTAATATAGTATATTTCAAAATTGAAGCTGTTTATTGTTTCATTCAAATGGTGATAGAACTTGTTAATAAGTTTAATTTGAAATTGTTAGAACTTGTTTTGTTGGCTAATTCTAATTGGAATTTTTTCCTAGGACGGAAAAAAATAATAAAATGGCAATAATAAATAAGATTGATTAAAAAACAAAAGCAATCTTTGTCTTTTGTTTATACATATGTATCATAACATAATAACAGACACATTTTATTAATATTAATATCTGAAAGTCCAATCTATCGACTTCATTATCTTAATTTTTCGAGATATTTTAACCTAAAACTTGAATTAAATAAAGAACCAATATTTTTACAAATTTAAAAATTCAGTTTCCGCTATGACCCTTAAAAACTCACTTTAGTTTTTCAAATACTTTTCTACTAAAGTTTAGAATATTAAAGCCGATTGATTGGCTTTAAATCTGATGAAATATAATTTCTAAATCGGGTCTTTTGAATATAACTTTTATTATCTTGTACATATTCTAATGGGTTTCTAAAAGAAACTGGAATTTATACATACGTAAAAAATATTGAAGCATTAGGGTTTAACTATTTTTGTTAACTAGTATTTGTTACATATTTACGGACGTGTATACATGCATAGCAAACGTACCGACTAACACCCATAAAAAATCATATTAAAAACGCAATTTAAGAGGAAAAAAAATTACTGCATCATTTTATGCCTTTTGTCTGCGATACAACAAAATCGGAATAAATTATTAAGTGATTGAGTGAGTGAATATAAAAGGAATTAGGTTGACTTTCCTAATATGAAAACAACAATAAATACAAATACATTTGTAGTTGCAAACATACAAAAGTATCCACATATGTATAAACTACTGTTTGTAAATTGAAGAAAATAATAATAATTGTTAACCCCCACACAAACTCGCTCATACTTTATTTATTTATTTATTGTATGTATTTTGTAAATAGACTTATCATTGTTATAATTTTTTTTTTCGTTTTTGCCACTCGAGTTACTTGCCACACTCACGCATTCATTATCATCATCCGTACACACTTGTTGTACATATTATTATTTGTTGATACTATTACTGCTGGTAGTGATGATTGTATTGTTTATATTAACACTCACTTTCTTCCCTTGGGTGTGGTCATTTGCAAAAATTTACTTTAATTAAAACTAAAAAAAACATACAAAAGTTGCTAAAACAACTGAAAACATTAAAAAAGTTAACACTATTTATGTAAAAAAAAGAAAATAACTAGTGCTAATTATATGAATTTTATAACCTCTTGACATGATAATTAAATTAACTTTTTTCAACAATTATTTTATTTGTTATTAGTATTTGGGGAATGAATTTGTTCCATTTTTAGTATTTTTACATACCAGACCAGTATGGAAGAGAAAAACTCAACTTGTTGACCTCACAGAAATATTATCTCTTACATGTTGTAATCGAATACATATAAACATTTGTTTCTGTGTAAAGTGGATGGGGACTGGGAACTTTAATCCCTTTAGGTATTTGACCATATTCTTATACATTAATGAGAACATACATGCATATGTATGTATGTATATGACAATTTGAATTTGTATTAAAATGTCCTTTGTTTTCAAGAGGACATCTAAATGTTCAATATTATGTTAGAATAATACGAAATATATTACTTTACTTAAAAGGTTTTCTAATTTTAGGGGAACATCTTACAACCACTTGTTTTTATTTACAAAGTACATATAAAGATTTTTCTTTTCTCATACTGATAGAAAATATTTAAATTTACTTTAGTTTTGGCGCCAGTAGCTGACATCACTTACATACGTATGTATATGATTATGTATTTAATATTAGGGAGGATTTTTTCAGATATAATGTACAAGTCTCTATATACTAGGGTGATCGATTATTCGACATTTTTCAAAAACCGTTTTTCGAATAGTTCGAATAGTTGACATTTAAAAAAACCGGTTGATATTTTTCAAATTCAGAAAAAAACGGTTAACCGGTTTTTCATTATAAATAAAAAAAATATATTTTAATTTGAAAAACTTAATGTTTATGTTTAAATTTGATTAATAAAACATGGCCCGAAATGATTTTTAACAGTTTAAAAGATTATAACTTTAGATCTAGTCGTCTGATTTACATTATTTCTTTAATATACAAAATTAGGAAAAAAGTGTGACACTTCTGTTTAACATAAGGGCTTATTTTAAAAGCCCTGTTTAGGAAATTTGCATAGGCATTCCAACACTTCCACAAAATTTCAGCCGTAAATTAATTATTGTAATTGGAATATAATCTTAAGATTGATAAAATTTTATCAAACAGTTATCCATTTTACAAAAAAGTTTAACCAAAGGAGCTGTAGAAAAATTTACGCTAGTTCCTCGACTCGAATATTTTTAAAATTTAGACGGGCTGTATTATTATTTACTAAAAATTTCATTTAAATAATCTTTGAATACAAAGCAAATAAAAGTGTTCGAAACCGGTTTTTAAAAAGTGAAAAAAACGGGTTATTCGATATTCGAAAAATTAACATTAAGAAAAAACCGACACTGGTAAAGCAGAAAAAACCGGTTTTAAAACCGGTTGAAAAATCGAGTCGATCACCCTACTATATACTTATGTTTATCGGAAGGACAACGGCATTTATAAATGATTTATAAAGTTATTAATGATTTAACAGGAACTTTGCATGAAAGAAATATTAAGCGTTTTTATAAATCATTGAACATTTCATGAATACGAGGGTAAGCAAACATAACTTAGAAAATATTTGAGTTTTTCCATGAGTCTCCAGTTACTTGAAAAATTATTTATAATAAGAAGAAGGATATACAGTCTTTTAGTAGGATTAAACTATAATACGTTTTTGGAATCAATTCATTATATTTTTATATAGAATTAAAACTAAAAGGAATTTATTAAATTCGACAAATAGAGAGTATAAATTTGCCTTGCGAACTCCTCTACTTTAATTTGTTTCCCACATTCCTCCTTATTACCTAAAAATTTGTCTTATTTAAATTGTTTTCCTTTATATACAGTTACTTTTTAACACCGTAAACCTTAAGCAGACATATTCGTTTGACAGATGTGACAGTAGCAATTAATCTCTTTTTGTTATCCTTATAATCCTTGCCAGATATATTTCCTTTTACCTGAATTCTTAAAGGATCAAAATATAAAAGATGTTTTCTTTAATCAAAAAGTATCTATGAATATGTTTATGTGCGCTCAAATTGAAAGTCTTACTACAAAACGTAATAATCCAGAAGGATTTGCAAATTGTATTGAAAAAATCTTAGGTAGATTTGAATACCCTACATCACAGTAGTTGTTGTTGTAGTACTATCTAATCTGGGGGTACTGCTAAAAATTGTTTTACTTCTACAGGATGTGTTCATAAATCCATTAGGAAAACTGAAGTAGGGTTATCATGGGTATCACGAGGATCCAGATATTCATTAGGGACGGAACGGTCTATGCGGGACCTGTAGGCATTAAGCCTGTAACTCCATCCCCACCTCAATTGTGGTATTCTTCTGTTTCTGCTATAAGCGATGGGTACAAGTTCAAAATTAATGCGATATCCAGCGACCGCGGATTTATTGGTGATCTAAGGGATCCTGTACACAACTGCGTATGTTTCGACATATGTACCTCGTGTAAGCCTCTAAATGTGTAATGTTAAAGTAGATATGACTCCCTTGGTGACATTTCTTCTACAGGATTCGTTCATTAATCTATTAGACAAATTGAAGTAGGGTTATCTGGACAGTTGAATATATTGATGGGTATGATGAGGATTCATACATTCATTAGAGACGGAACGGTCTATGCGGGACCAGTAGGCATAAAGCCTGTGACTCCATCCCGACCTCAATTATGCCAGAACTACTTTTGTTCTTTGTCAACATTATGCTGAATTCTCTGACTGGAAGGACCTTTTCATGCAGCCTGTCCTAAGGGCAGAATTTTGACAGCTTTCTATGTAGCTAATAGGGTTTCTTTATCCATACCCCATGGAATGTCTGCTAGCGATTTGAGGACCCATCCACTACATCACTGTAATTGTATTAAACATTTGATCTGCTATTATATGAATGAATTTACCAATCTGCTTAGAACAACTTCCTTGCTGTTTCCATTTGTCTATCCATGTACATTTTTTAATTAAACTACAGGTTGCCATATTGAAAAAAAATCCCTTTAAAACTTCTTTCTCTACTTTTAACACAGCAAAACTCTATTGATGTGATCCTTTTTCCTTGGCGAAAAAATCTCATACTTTTATATTACTTTTGCCATCCCTGAGGTACATAAATAAAGCTTTTATAATTTTATCTCATCTTGTTTGTCTACCATATCAACAAACAAAAACCTGACGTCATCCATAGGCCAGCCAATACAAAAAAGAACTCGTTTTGTGTTATGTATTTTTAATAATGATCTTCTTTATATATATTTCGTAGTATTTGGGGAGTTTTTTTTGTAAAAAAATATTTAAACGACTTCACTTTCCTTCAAATTCATTCCTCTATCAATACAAATTCAATATATTTAAAATTTTTAAAGTAAAATAAAACCAGTTTCTTTTACTGTGTGTTAAAAATATTTAAATAAACACATATTTTTACCGACTGTTTGTTTTTATATATAAGGGCTTTGAGTTTTTATACAAATACTTATGTATGCAAGTATATTTGTGCTTTTGTTTTTCTTTTTTGTAAATAACAACTTTTTTTACATTGTCCTAGATTTGGGATGATGTTGAATGGGAACACTTGTCATTACGCATAATCACGTACGTTTTCTTAGTTTCATTTTTCTCAAGAGTTTTATTTGTTTTTATTTACTACGTCATACTACCAACTTTATTTAAAAACAATGTCGCCACAAGTATTTTGCCATAAATACTACAAGAATTTAACTTTAGTAAAGGAGAATCTCACTTTCTACGCAGTTATTTTACTCCCCTTTTATTTTGCTTCCTTCGGTTAGCTTTCCTTGACTTTATTTATGTATTCCACCCTCTAATATAAATAAAAATGTTTATGAGTAACGTACTTGTTATGTCCCAATGATGGTAGCAGTTTACATATTTCGGTTTTTAAATCGCTTTCACTCACATTCTTCAAAATACAGTTTTTAAAGTATGTATTATCTTTTTGTGTTTTTATTGCGTCATAAAATCGAAATCTATTTTTTTCGCATATTTATGAACAAACATATTTGTTCGCACATCACATACTATAAACATGTTTTGAGTTCATCTCAATTGATTTTTACTGATTTTTCTCATTTTCTTGTGAATTTTTTATTTAACTTTTCTCTATGTCTACTTGAAATCGTCAAATGTTTTTTTTGTCTATGGATCCGTGACTCATTGTTTTGTCTATAGAATTTTATTGAAATTGTACAGCATCCACGACTTTATAGTACCTTACACAAGTGAATTTCAGCAGACAGCCAATCCTCATATGAGATTTATGAATATTTAAGATTGTTTTCAAAAGACCACGCTCAATAGGGGTTCAGGTCAGTTTCTGCTCGAAATCTATGTCATAGAAGAATTTCTTTTTTTGTAATGTAATTTATGTTAGATTTTCATTTGGATACATATGTAAATCAAAGCGATTCTAATATCCATAAAGTGCATAAAATAAATTTTCGGAACAATTATGTTCAAATTTAGATCAATATAAAACAAAAACATTTCGAGCCGACTTACGTCTAGTTCAAAAATACTTTAAAACTAAAGATTAGTCATTGGACTAGTCAATAAACAAGACGATTTAGTCAATAGACACTCTCTCTATGGGCTAGAGAATAAAGTTGTCTATAAACAAGACAATATACCAGTCCCTAGATTATACATTGTACTAGTCTATAGATTAGACATTAGATAAGTGCATTTTCTAGTCTATAGAATAGTCCACTGAAAGGTACTCCCTTTGGTAAATATTTTCTGGTTGTAATCTCTTCCAGGATTCTTTACAAGAGAATATACACAAGAATTGTATATGTCCTCATCTGAAGTATAGTAAAAAACTTGACCGAAGTCGGTAATCGTTTTTGGATAAGGCAGTAACACATAAAGCCATGAATTACTTTTTCGTTGCAAGTATTTACTGCGAATGTAAGTGAACAGACCTAAAATTTTGAAAATATGTTTTTCCCCCTTTTTTCTAAATGTAAATGTTAAATTTTGTTTGTTAATGGAGTAAAATCTTATAGAAATATATAAACAAAATCGCCTGATTGGAATTTAGCTCAAATCAAATTTATACAATTATTATTATTTAATAGCCAAAGGTGAAATTTGTTTTAAAACTTAATTTTTTTCAATTGCATAAGAGACTAAATAAAGGTTTCAAATAAAATATGGTAAAACGAAATCGTTTTTGGAATTTGTAATTAATTGCAAATTGTTTTTTATATAATAAAAACACTACAAAGTTTGATGATTAACCTTAGATAGTTAGAGTTATAGCAGCTGTTTATTTAAACACATGTGTATATACAGTATTTATATAGAAATATGAATTTGTAATGATCACATGAATTACAAATATACCTACCCAAATATTCATAAATAAGTTATAGAAGGTTTATTATAGGAATTTTGTATAGAAACACATTTTAATAAAGAAAAAGGCAATTGATAATTATGTTTCAGTTTAAGTAAATAAAAATCGCAACATACGCCGGATTTACAATTTTTATTAAAAAGTAAAAAAGTTTAACAAAAACCTCTAATTTTTATATAATTTTAGATTCTCGGCATTTTGGCTATTGTTTATGGCGTGATTGTTTTAAACAGCATTGGTCTCATCGAAGTTGACAATCAGGTCGGTTTCCCACCACAGGCAGCTGTACCTATATGTCTAATCACAATTGGTTCAATTGTGGTATTCATTTCATTCTTGGGCTGTTGTGGCGCCATTCGCGAAGATGTCTGCATGACCATGTGCTATGCTGTCTTTATGTTAATCTTGCTCATTCTTCAACTGGTATTGATTGTATTGCTCTGGACTAACAAAGATAAAATTACAAATCTTATGGGTGAAATTGTCGATAAGACATGGGAACGTGAAGCCAGAGAGGCGGGAGTTTTTGAAGCCATCCAAAAATCGGTTAGTAATCAATGCAATAATAATAGGATTTTGTTTATTTATTTTCATATTATAATTATAGTTCAAGTGTTGCGGCGCTAATGGACCTGCTGATTATGCCCTCATTCTTAAATTGCCAACTGACAGCTGTTGCCCAGCTGGTAGCACATGCACTCCTCTCAACTACTATGGCGGCTGCAAGGACAAGTTTGTTGAAAACATGTCTGGCAAAACCGATAATGCTAAATACTTTGGTCTTGGTTTAATTGCTATTGAGGTAAGTTATTTCAGTTGACGAAACTTTTATTCAAAAGAAAACGTATTGTCTATGATTGCAAAATTGTTATTAGTTATTTACACAAATACTAGATATTTTTTGTTCAAAGAAATAGTTTTATCTGTTTCTTAGTAGTAGTTTTTAGTATTAAACTAATGTGAACAAAGAACATTTGTTTCTAAAATTACTAGAGTACAAGCTAGGAACTGTTTACATAGAAATTACCAAACATTAAACAATCTTTGCCAGTTTCTAGTTTTTATATTTAGCAAGTCTGAACAAAGACTACATCTCAATAACAATACGTACTTTGTTTTCCTAAATGTATTGTAAAATTTAATAATTCTCCATTTCTTTTTTTATATCCTTTCAGCTTGTTGGTTTCATCTTTGCCTGTTGTCTGGCCAATAATGTGCGCAACTATAAGCGAAGAAATGCTTATTAATTAAATGTTTTGTAAGAACAAATAACAAAAATCTCAATCATTTAAACATTTAAATAAAATCCCCTCTGCATAGTTTTTTTCTTTTCAAAATATTTAAAAGCACACACATACACACAAATACATACAAATGTAATATTCCAAAATATAAAAAACGTACAATTTAAGAATGAAATACGAATCAAATGAATCAACAAATATAAATAAATACCTGCTGTTACATTTGTAAAAAACAAGAAAAACATAAAAGATTTTTAATTGTAGTTTTAAGAAAGAGAAAAAAAGAAGAAATCGAATGAATTATATAAAATATGTTACAGAATCCAATTTAATTTTAGTGTTTAAAACCAATGTTTTATTACTTTTTTATATATTATATAAATATTTAAATACATACTATAAACGTACAATATAAACTAAAACAGCTGAAGTTTTCCTTACTATTACTATGTATTATTTATAGGCTTTTTGGAAAATTAAAAAAAACTGCTATTTTTTCTTATGTTTTGTAAGAATATTAAAAATCTCACCTGTATTACTTTAATAAAATTTTGTATTATTATATATTTTTGAAATTATCTTTATACCTATTATTTGTTTTTGTTTTATATAATTTACAAAGAATTTTAACCGGAATGTTAATTGATTTGTAAAGAAAATAAAAATCTCTAATTGACATACACATACTTAGTTTGAACATGAATTATTCAATTATAATTTAAACAATGAATGTATTTACTATTGAATCATATTTAATATTCATAATACTGCAGTTTTGTAAAAACAATTCATGAACTTAAAAAAAAAACAAAATAATAAATGGAACTGAAGGTGATTTTTTGTTTATTGATTTTTATTTTCATTTATTTACTTTTTTTTAATAAATATTTACAATTTTTATTAACGTTAAAGTGTGAATAATATTGTGAATAATGTTGTTGTAACGTAACATAAAACATGTCACGTCTAGTATAATGTCTGATTGGCTTTGATGATTCATGTTGTTTTTCCTGTTAATTTTTCATTTGCTACAAATTTGTATTTCAAAATAAATATGTTTGTAGTTCAATTTATTTATTATTCTTATCTTGTGTCAACAATACAATTGCATTTAGTATTTCAGCTATGTAAAACATTTAGGTAAATAAAGGTCAGAAGTACTATAGAATTGTTTTACAAATACATACGCACAAATTATACGATGACAAACTTCCTTAATAGAATGATACAATTCAAAATTAATTCATGACTCGTACCTAATTGATTATGCAAAGTAATTGAATGTGGTTAGAAAAAAAGGTTGTGTTGATAACACATTTAATTTGTTATAAACTATTTGAACAGCTGTTGTTAATGTTAAAGTTTTTGCCAAAAAAATAATGGTATAGAATGTCTTTGTATTATTATTAAGTTTTGAGAGAGTTTATGTTTAAAAAAAAAAAAAACTTATGATGAACAGAAATACAGTAGTTTTCCGATTTAACGAACATTCGTTTCTACGAACATCGCATTTAGCGAACTATCAATATTTTTGCATTGAGTACCTTACATAACGAACAAAAATATTTTTTGTACTCAGTTTAACGAACAAATATAAATAAAATAATTTAAATTAGAGTTAAATTAACAAAAATAACTAAAAATCATGTCAGAAAAGCTTTGACGTTATTAGGAGGGGTATTTACTTTTTCATTGCTTTCGAATATGGATTTCGAGAGTTGATTTTTTCTAATTTAGTAAAATGAAGAATCTTGATAATCTGAGATTTTTTATTAAAGATTTATACAAAAATATGAGATAATCAAATCTACAATCCTTAATGTCGCAAAAACTAATGTTGATCGAATTAGAAAATCGGAACAAAAAATGTTTAGAGAGGCCAAAGTATACTTTTCTAGAAGCTCGTGCTCAACCCGAATTTGGCCTCAGAATTTGAAATCATAGAAATTGGTGTTCAAAATAAAGACTTTGCCAATCGTATACCTTAACATTTCGCTTTTATTTTTCGCCAAACTAACAAGTCCCCACTGTGACCATAATTTTTTCCAATAAAAATCAATTCTAAGAAATTGTAAGAAACGATATGTTATAGAATAAACAATATAAATAGTTTTTCTTTTGGAAAAAGGATATTTACAGGAATAGCTGTGAAATAAAGGAAAAAATATTTTATACAACTTTGGGTTCAGATATTTCAAAGAATGAAAACAATGAAACTGTGAAACAATGAAACGCTTTAATAACTTTACATTAATCTATTTCCTAATTGGGTTTAAACTTCTTTAAGAATTATGTCGTCCGAGTGCTTTTCCAGAACGTAGATTAGTTATACGAAATAAACTGAGTTTTTTCAAATTTCTTTATTGTTTTTACATTGTGATATAAATTGCTAGTTTTTCATAAAATTCTTATAAAATACATGGAACATATTTTTATAAATTAGATTTTATGTAATTTTAATTATTTATGTACCCCAAAGGTTACTTTCGAGTTAGAACTGCATATAACGAACTTTTCGATTTAACGAACAGGCCTGACAACATATAGGTTCGTTAAATCGAAAAACTACTGTATATCAAAATGGACCCTAATGCACACAGGTCCCTAAGTGTTAAATTCTATGTTCAATATTATAGAAAATTTTATATTTTGCGTTTGAATAACAAAAAAGTTCTAATGTGTCTATATTAAACTACAAAAAATATACCTATTAACCCTCTTCGCCCAGGATCAGACTTTTTCGAGGACAAAACTTTCAAACTACTCAGTTTCAATTTGTGTACTACATACCAAACTTAAATTATTCAAATCTATTTAATTGCTCATGAAATTAAAAAAAGAACCAAACTCTTTATCCAACTTTGGTTTTATATAAGCCCCTACCCGAATTACAAATATCAGACATATATTATATTACATATATCGTGTAATTAAATCTTTTAAATTATATTGAAAACGCTTCAATGAGTATAAATAAAACTAGAATTCCCGCTTTCTTCATTACTGATATTTTTTCGACCATTTTCTCAATGGTCCTTTACGCCCCTATTCTGGGCCCAAATTATGGCATACGATTTCGATCGAAATCTCCATTTAGATTCTATTGAGATTTCGATCGATATCGTATGCCGTAATTTGGGCCCTGTATTTCAATTCGAATCGAAATTTTTCCGTTTCGCAACTTTGGTATTTTGCATTTCGATTCGAATTTCCATCACTGAAACAACGACTTACAAAAACATAGTTACGATCGTAATGCAGAATACACGCAATCGTAAAGCATTGAAATAAAATGGTATTGCATCTTCTTTTCCTTACGATTCCGTGTTTTGTTGGAATACCTATTTTCGATCGTAAGCGTACATTGCAAGCGGCCGGGAAATATAGTATCAAATGGCGGTCACTGAAGCCATTAATGGCTACAGATTGAACAGAGTCCTAAATGAACACCCCCTGAGATCTCGGATTGTGAGAGACAATAACTCAGGCATTGTTTGGTGCAGTTTCCTCAACTGCTACCGTGAACGAATCGTTCCAGGCACTTTAAATCGTTGTCAACGACCTGATGACACGGTGCATTTATTCAATTGTCCCGCTAGGACTACAAATCTGCGCCCCATAGACCTATGGTTAAGACCGACTGAGGTGGCACAGTTTATCCAGCTCCCCCTTCCATTCATAGACACAAACTGAAATAATTAAGTTTTATTTTTCTAATTTCAGGAAAGAACTAACGGCCACAGTCGAACTGTTACAACAAAAACATTAGCTCGTCATTGGAGAGATGTTGTTCATTTTTGACAACTTTGAACTATATCTAATCTTATTCATAGAAGCAGTAATAATCCGATATGTGGACGTCGAAAATTAACCACATAAACATAGTGACATTTATAGATCCTTTCTATAATATAGAAACCAGAAACATGAAATTAAGCATATGTAGACCGGATTATATATCTATAAAAGGGTTCTTTTTGATACTTTTTTGTTGCACAAAAGGTGTTCTTTGAATATTTTATAATATTAAAACTAAAAACATACACCCCTATTGTGCATTTCAATACGAATAGAAATTTTCTCCGTCCCTATCGTGGACCTTTAATGTGTATTCTAAGGGGCATCTAAATAACTGTATAAGCTAAAAATTACGACAATTTTTGTCACCTATTTCAATAAAAAGCAAAAATAATATGTCTCTCCAATCCACTTCAAAACATTTTTTTTTACCAAAAATACTCTATAAACTGTTTAAGATTATTTTTGGAAATTTTGGAAACCCATTTAAAAAAATCAAAGATTCTTTTTATTTTCATAACCCACCCAGCAAAAAAAGTGTGGAAAAAGATGTAGAATTTTCATCACAACCCAGCAAAAAAAGTGTGGAAAAAGATGTAGAATTTTCATCACAACTAGTAACCCGAAGTGCTTCAAATTCGGGTGTAAAACCTATGAATTTTACATTAGCGTGTCATTGGAGGGATGTTGTTCATTTTTGGCAGCTTTGAACTACATCTGATCTTATTTTTAGAAGCAGTAAAAATCCGATATTTGGATGCCAAAAATAAAACACATTCTCTTAATGACACGCTTATGTAAATTTCACTACTCTTTCACCAAATCTTGATGTACTTCAAATATGTTATTTGTAATGACTTTTCCACATCTCTTTCCTCACTTTTAACTGGGGTTTCATTTGTAAGGAAATATTTGGTTTATAAAAGTGAAAAATATGTAATCGCATTTTAAGATGTGATTAAGATGTAGTTTGTAAAGTATGACATCAATTATTTTTTGCTGGGAACTAGTAACCCGAAGTGCTTCAAATTCGGGTGTAAAACCTATGAATTTTACATTAGCGTGTCATTGGAGGGATGTTGTTCATTTTTGGCAGCTTTGAACTACATCTGATCTTATTTTTAGAAGCAGTAAAAATCCGATATTTGGATGTCAAAAATAAAACACATTCTCTTAATGACACGCTTATGTAAATTTCACTACTCTTTCACCAAATCTTGATGTACTTCAAATATGTTATTTGTAATGACTTTTCCACATCTCTCTTTCACTTTTATAAACCAAATATTTCCTTACAAATGAAACCCCAGATAAAAGTGAGGAAAGAGATGTGGAAAAGTCATTACAAATAACATATTTGAAGTACATCAAGATTTGGTGAAAGAGTAGTGAAATT